CTGCTTCATAGGGTAAAAACCTGTAACAGAAACTGCAGACTAAGGGAAATTCTTGAGCTCATCTTACAGAATGAGCAGATAAGGGAAGAGCTTGTTTGAAAACTCCTTCCTCTTGTAACACAGAAAAACTGTCTGAAACCAGATTAAATCAATATAGCTGATCAGAGTCAGAATAGACCTGCCTGCCCCATAGGGGACCTACATTACAGGCCCTGCAGCCTTACTGGGTTGCCTCACAAACTCTTTGCTGCAAATCTCCTGCTCTCAGTGTTTTGGCTTGCAGCTCCTTGGGCAAAAGAACCTGGTTCCCTAACATGAGCAGTCAAGCTTTTAACTTACAGGTTAGTACAATGCCTTAAAGGATACAGAAAAGAATGGAAGGAATCTGAATCAACCCCTAACCTCCAAATCTGGATCCACACTAGTAAAGAAAAGAGGAAAACTAACAAAATAATAGTGAAGCTCAAAAGGGAGGTGATATACATGTAATTATGGCTGATTTGTGTTATTGTGCGGCAGAAACCAACACAACAGGGTAAAGCAATTATTCTTCAATTAAAAAAAATAGTGAATATGTCTGGGCTATAAAATTGAGGATTTTATACACACATATTTATTTTGCTAATGAAAACAAAGATCACCGAGTTAAAAACACTTCTTAAAAAGGAAAGAGAAAGGAAAAAATGAAACATTTTTCAAGTGAAGAAAAATTAATAAACTCCCTCTCTCACAAAACACCCCTGAGAGACACTGTTGAACTCTCATCCTACCATTACTTGCACCTCCTTCAAACCACCTATGGAGGAGGGACAAAGTTCTGTTTATCCAGCCAGGCCTGGAGGAACACTTCTCTCCCTGTCTTTCCTGGCATTCATCCAAATTCCTGCCTCCCTTAAAAAAAAAAAAAAATCCCTTTTGATTTTGGTTTCGTTTCTCATAATCCCCACCACTACCTGGAGGGCTTTTAATAACCAGCTAGCTTTTCAGCTTTTTTTTTTTTCCCGGCTTCTGGACATAAAAGTCGGTTTCTGGAGGAGCGAGAAGCAGGAAGAGCCCTAGGGGCGAAGCAGAGCAACTACTTGACCCTCGGCTGCAGCTCCAGGTAAGTCTGCTCCTGAACTTGACCTTCCAAGCACACTTCGGTTAAACAACAATAGATCCCCTAGCGCAGACCCCACACTGGGGGAGGAGAGAAGCAGATGGAGGCGCGGGGCCGGTGGGTGGCGACCGGCCGGGCGCATTGTTCGGGCAGCTCGGGGTCTGCTTTTGGATCCCAGGTTGCTTCCAAGCTTATCGCCCGGATGCGCCGCTGCTCCTGGAGCATCTAAGCAGCAATGCAGCAGAAAGCAGGAGAGCAGGTACGTCTTCTGAGGAAAGGAAGCTGAAGACCCAAACTCACCCTTACTCCCCAGCCCGCCCTTCGCAGAGGCAATGGGTGCGGTGACTTCTCCCAGCCCCCTCTTGCCCTCCTCAGATACATCCTCAGTGCACCCCGCTGGGCAGTGGTTAAACAAATAAGATGGTCCTAGACATAGAGCCAATTTAAATCCTAAAAGATGGACCCGGGATTATTTTTGTCTTAACGTTTGATACTCTGAATACATACAGAACTGTTTTCTTTGGAATAATTCAATCTCACTCTTACTAAAAAAACCAAAAAACTATTATTAGTAACTGTAAGATCTAATCATGTTTGTTTATCATGCATTGTTTTTAATGAGCGGCACATACATTAACAGCCTCAGAATAACTTCTGGTACTTGCTGAAAATCCCCAGTGTGGGGTATGTTTGACTATCAGATAATTCTTTAAGTCATCTTTGGAAACTTGTTGGTCATCTTCTGCCTTGTGTTAGCACTGTTCTTTTCTATTTGTTTTGTTTCTTTTTTAAGGCTTTTTGTTGTTTTATATTTATTTTTTAGGCCATGCCTTGCAGCACGTGGTCAGGGGGGAGGGGGGATCTTAGTTCCTGGACCAGGGATCTAACCCCTGTCTCTTGCATTGGGAATACGAGGTCTTAACAACTGGACTGCTGGGAAAGTCCTTCCAAGTGCTTAGTTTTGAAGTTACAAGTTTGTTGGTTTTGGTCCCTCAGTATACTTTGAGTTAAAATACAAAATCTTTGTAGACTCATTGACTTACACAAAGCTTTATCAATGTTTGGTCTCAGATATAAACTCTGCAATTTCTCTTGCTTATAGCTATTCACCTTAAAATAAAAGTTATTTTACAAGCCAAAGTGAATTTATTCAGGAATAGAAGAGTTATTGCAATTTGGGACAAGTGAGCTATTAAAAAAAAAAAAAAGCCATAAGGAAGTCCAGCTAAGAAAAAGAACATTATAGAGAAAAGTAAGGGTCTGGGAAGGTTGGTTTGGAAAGAAAAGTCAGAGTTCAAGGGTGATGACCAGTTCTCATTGATTGAGTTGCTGGGGTAGTCAATTCTTGTAGGAGATGCAATGTACACCTTTTCCTCTTGAGGGTTTGGCATTGGTAACTCTCTTTCCCTGTTGAAAATTTTTCCCATGGGGTCTGTAATTGACAATTCTTCCATAACTGACCTCCAGTCTGTAGTCTGGCAACAAGCCCCCTTCTGGCTTGCTGACGCCATTTGAGTGAGTGAAGTTCATGTTTTTGGCTGGGGTGGGGGGTTGGGGACACATGAAACCCAGTTGGCTCAGAATCCGCCTGCCAGTGCAAGATATGCAGGAGACACCAGAGACGTGGGTTTGATCCCTGGGTCAGGATCCCTTGGAGGAGAAAATGGCAACAGGCTCCACTATTCTTGCCTGGAGCATACAGCACATACATGATGGGGGAGAGGACACAGGCCTTCAAGTGAGATCTTACTTCCCAGACCAGGGACGGAACCAGCACCCTCGTCAGTGAAAGCACAGAGTCCCAACTACTGTCAGGGAATTCTCCAGGTTTTCCTTTATTAATTTTGACATAACACAGAAGTAAAAGGTCATGTTTTACTCTCCCATTTCTGCTCCAAATCCACTATAGAAGAAGAAAAGAAATCGTACAGAAGAAATCTATTAAATAAATAAATGTTTTTTCTCATAAAAAGATTTTAGATCCCTTATAATTCTTGACAATTTCAGGTTACAGAGCTCACTGACACATTATAACACACTGTCTATTTGAAATAGTACATGAATCCAGAAAAAATTTTTTTCATGATTTATAGCCTATCTGTTACCAGCTGTGCTGTAGTGAATCAAGAATTGTTCCTTTACATATAAACTGCTAAGAAAAAGAAGGTTTTGAAGGTAAGTTCCTTTTTCAAGGCATCAACAGATAATAAGCACTGTGAACCTTCAGGTTTGAACCCTGGCAGCCCGACTCCAGAACCTGTACTTGGACATCCCAGGGCAGCTCTGAGCTCCTCCAGCCTGACTCTCCCCCCATCACTGTCCTCCCTCTCAGATATTACCACTGGATCTCCCCAGCCTGCTCATCTTCCTCTTGGGCTGTGTCGTCCCACTTGCTTGCAACCAGGGAGGGAAGTGTCAGAGCCAGTCCTCCAGTTTCATTCAGTAATTACTGTCCCTGTCTTCAGATATTCAGTTGTAAAGCAGTACTTATATAGAATTTACTATGTACCAGCATAATTTTCGAAGTATTGTAAGCATCATGAGCTAGTTAATCCTCCAAATAACCCTAATGACAGATTGAGTTTTGTGTCTCATGCTGCCATTTTACAGAAGAAAAAACTGAGGCACAAAGAAATTAATCTTCTCAGCCGTCACACAGTCAGTAACATATGGAAACATGTGGATGTTGCTTAGTATTGTTTTTGAAAAAATAAAGGAACAGTCAAAGCCTTCTGACTTCTGTCTGTCTCCTAAGATCATGAAACATCTAATCATGGTGATGAAATCATTTAAAGTAGAGCCTGGCCCAGATGTGAGACCCTGGCATATCCAGCCAGACCTTATAACACCCTAGTTGCTTGCATCTCTTCTCTATCTGCTTAAATAATAAGAAATTCCCTTTAATTTCAGGTAGTAACTGAATTATTAACATGTGCAACTGTGTTAGGTACCTTCAAGATCTGTGCTGTTTTAAGAGAGAGCAGCATCTTTATCTCAACTTCTTTCTCTCACAATCAATCTTCCTCCAGCCTGTCCTACTCCACTGATTGCTTCATTTGGTCACCAGTCACATTCATTCTTCCTTTGTTGGCAAGGTTTTCCCTGATTAAATTCCATGTAAATTCAAATCCCATTCCCTGCTCATTTCCTTCTGACCATTTACCACCCTCTAATATCCACATATGTGGATGTTTTATTTTTTCACTTTCTATATTATTTGTCTCCTTTACTAGAATAGAGATCCATGAAGCAAGAATTTGTATCCATCTTGTTCACTGTTTGATCCTGAGCTTCTAGAACAGTGTCCAGCACATGGAAGGTTCTCAATAAATATTTGTGCAATTAATGAGTGATCAAATCATTCTGGAACTCAAGAAATCATCTCTGGTCACTCCTCATCCTATTCATGTCCCACCTGTATCTACTTACCCCCAAAACGTTAGTGTTCTCAAAGCTCTATCATCAGTGCTTTGTGTTCTGAATCTGTTCACTGTATGCCTCATGTGGGCAAGGTTGCATTAGGGTTCATTTAAGAATCAATAAGATAATGTACATATTGTACATCTACAGGCCTTGGCACACGAGGCTAAATACTTACCTTTTGGAAATATACAAAGCAAAAAGAATTGATATCTGAGTTCCACAAGCAGAAGACTAATATGCATATGACTTATGTAACCATGAAGGATGACCTCAGGACCCTGTAGGGTTTTATTTCACATTTTTTTAATTGAAATATAATTTCTTTACAATGTTGTGTTCGTTCCTGCTGTACAACAATATGAATCAGCTATGTGTATACATAAATCCTCTCCCTCTTGAGCCTCCCTCCTGCCCCCTCATCCCACCCCTCTGGGGACCTTGTGTTCTACTGAGTTGTTTCTCTCGGTTACAGCTTCCCATGGCATCTGGATCCACCATAATGGACCCCATCTGTCTGGTAAGAAACCAGAACAACCAGCTGACAGTAAATCCCAGAGCACTGAAGATTCTGGAGCAGATATCTCAGCCTGTGGTGGTGGTGGCCATCGCAGGGCTGTATCGGACCGGAAAGTCCTACCTGATGAACCGCCTGGCAGGACAGAACCACGGTGAGTTTTGTTAAGTGTTGTTCAGGACATTTGCTTGACAGCATGGTAACGCAGGCTGCTGATCCTCCTCCTCTAGGGTCATGTTAAGGAAGAGCCTAACCCCTCTTCCCACCGCCACTGAGGATAACTTCTAATTCTCACCACCGAGTTTATAACTTCAAACCCATCCCTCCACAATGTTCACTCTTCTGTCCAGTGGTCAAGAGTTCCCAATCCCATCAGAACATCTACCTCATTTGTCCTGATTCCATCCACAGCCATCCTCTCAGGGGCTCATCTTCAACAATTACTGCCTTCCTTTCTCCTTCACCACATTTGCCCTAAACCACAGAGTCATTCCAAGCAGCACACAAATATTTTTTAACATGTCTTATTTTTAGGAAACAATAGAAGAGAGTACTGACAGCAAAATCCTTATATCCTATACCTCAACGAGACTACCATGCATTCCTTTTGGTTTAATTTCACAGTAAAACTTTGATAACTATACATATTCTCTTTCTCTAACTAGTCTTTTCTAATATGTGAACTCTAAGGCACATAGATGGGGCTTCCCTGGGGGCTCAGATAGTAAAGACTCTGCCTGCAATTCAGGAGACCTGGTTTCAATCCCTGGGTCAGGAAGATCCCCTGGAGAAGGAAGGGAATGGCAGCCCATTCCAGTATTCTTGCCTGGAGAATTCCAGGGAGAGAGGAGCCTGGCAGCTATGGGCTAGTGTTATTGGGGTTGCAAAGAGTCAGACACGACTGAGCGACTAACACTTTCAGGTTTCCCAGGTGGTGCAGTGATAAAGAATCTGCCTACCAGTGCAGGAGATGCAGGAGACTTGGTTTAATCTCTGGGTCGGGAAGATTCCCTGGAGAAGGAAATGACAAGCCACTCCAGTATTCTTGCCTGGAAAATTCCATGGACAGTGGAGCGTGGTGGACTATAGTCCATGGAGTTGCAAAGAGTCAGTCACGACTGAGCACACACATGCAACAACACATATGGAAGAATACATAAAAATACATGTATACATATTAAAAGGTTGATAAGTATAAAGTGATCAACTGTTCAGTCACTGCCCAGAGTAAGAAATAAAACATCACCAACACCCGAAAGCCCAAATCACACCCTGTTCCACCCTCACTGGAGCTCACCAATGTTTTGATTTTCATGGTGCCTGCTTTCATTCTTTATATTTAAATATTGTTTTACAATCTATGCAGCTATTTCTTTTTTTTTTCATTTATTTTTATTAGTTGGAGGCTAATTACTTTACAATATTGTAGTGGGTTTTGTCATACATTGACATGAATCAGCCATGGATTTACATGTATTCCCCATCCCGATCCCCCCTCCCACCTCCCTCTCGACCCGATCCCTTTGGCTCTTCCCAGTGCACCAGGTCCGAGCACTTGTCTCATGCACCCAGCCTGGGCTGGTGATCTGTTTCACCCTAGATAATATACATGTTTTGATGCTGTTCTCTTGAAACATCCCACCCTCGCCTTCTCCCACAGAGTCCAAAAGTCTGTTCTATATATCTGTGTCTCTTTTTCTGTTTTATGCAACTATTTCTTAAAAATAACTTAAACTTTATAGAGGAAAGTACATTCTGATATTCATTGGGATCTTGATTCATATTCTCAATAAGTTTATGAGGTTCATCTAGTTTGTCATCAGTTCAGTTCAGTTCATTTCAATCGCTCAGTCGTGTCCGACTCTTTATGACCCCATGAATTGCAGCACGCCAGGCCTCCCTGTCCATCACCAACTCCCGGAGTTTACTCAAACTCATGCCTATATCGAGTCAGTGATGCCATCCAGCCGTCTCATCCTCTGTCGCCCCCTTCTCCTCCTGCCCCCAATCCCCCCCAGCATCAGGGTCTTTTCCAATGAGTCTAGTTTGTCATAGGTGTCTGTAATTACTTTCACTGTTTTTTACTTTTAAACTGACAGAGGATACCACAATTTATTGATCCATTTGTTACTGATGAACACTGGCATTATTTGCAACTTTTATCTTTTATGAATGGTGCTCTCATGATTATTCTTCATCTATATCCTGGTGTATATATATACTAACTTCCTTATGTTTTACCTAGAAGTGGAATTGCTGAATCAAGATGTGTTTGTCTTCAGCCTTTCTAAATAACACCAAACAGCCTTTTTAGCTTTATGCTCAGTTTTTGTGCTTATTAGCAGCAATTTAAAATTTCCACATTGTCACAAAATTTTAGTAAAAACATTTTTAAACTTTTATCAATCTGGTGTCTGCATGGTTGCTTGTTACTTGCCTTACTACTAATAGGTTTGAGCACTTTTTCATATATTTGCCTTTTGCCTTTCCTATTTCAAGAGGGTTTTTTCTACCAAGTTACCTGACTTGTTTTTAATTGATTTTTAGGATAATACACCCATGTCCTGTCGGGCATTTCTAAGAAGACCACACACCATTTCTTTCCTAATGCCTTCCTCTGTGGCCCAGCAGCTTAGCACAATTAGGGGGTAGCACCTCAGTTCACTAAACTCTAAGGGTCCCTAGGAATATCTCAGTGTCTCACTCAAATTCTCTGTTTCTGTGTCTTTATCTCTCTCTCCCCCATCTCTCTTTGTTCTTCCTTTCTCCCACTCTCATTTTTCCTTTGCAATCTCTTACTGACTTAAAACAAGACATTTTATGTTTGTCTTTCTTTGAAAGGAAATTGATCACCAATCAGGGGAGGACGCTTTTGCTTGCCAGAGTAAATTAATAAATAGGTCATTTTTTGAGAGATTTCAGATTTCAGAACTCTAAGAAAGAGATACATGCGAGGAGTTTGAGGAACATTCTTTCTTTTCCTACTTGAGATAACATCTGGTAAATAAAGAGGTGATTTTCCTACTGAGGAAACCTTTAGCCTAGTCATGTTTTAGGGCTTCCCTGGTGTCTCAGTTGGTAAAGAATCTACCTGCAATACGAGAAACTGGGTTTGATCCCTAGGTTGGGAAGATCCCTTGGAGGAGGGCATGGCAACCCACTCTAGCATTCTTGCCTGGACAAGCCCCATGAACAGAGAAACCTGGCAGGCTACTGCCTATGGGACCACAGAGTTGGACACAACTGAGCGACTAAGCAGTCATGTTTTAAAACACCTGAATTGTGACTTACCACCTGACTCATATCACAGGAAGAAGAAACAAATTAGCACCCAGTCAGGGTTGACTAGCAGAAGCAAGTCAATATTTTCTCTCCTGTGGTGATACCATTGTCTATTCTTTACATCTCATAACTGACCGTGATGACCTCCATTTATAGCTTGTCTTTTCTCCCTGAAGGAACTGAGAGTTCACATTTCTCTGTATTAATCAGCACACAGTCAAATGCCATCACAGTGTAGAAGAGTGAAGATCATCTCAGGTCCTATACCCACTTTGAGCAGAACACACAAGATATGGCACTGGATGGCCTGAGCCATGTTGAACCATGCTCCCTTAGATATTCATCATATCCATTTCTATTCTCAGTTGAAGGGACCATTGGCATCTGACCAAGGTCAAAATCTTGGACTGTTGGATGAGATATCTTACCTGCAGCTTCTTAGGCATATACCTCACATCCTCTCCCATCTCTGGGCGTAAGCCTTGAGAAAGGAGGGCAAGCAAGTCTTACAGTTCTGTTTTGCTTTCCCTTCTGTTATATCTCCATGTGAGTCAGTAAACAAAGAATTTATCATTTTTGAAGAGGAGAAGGGAAATGAGGAAAATACGAGGAGGAAAAAGAGGAATAAAACTAACAAAAGTTGATGAGTCAATGCAGGTTGTGAAAGGAAGGACACAGAGAAGCCACTTAGAGGGTAACTGAAGATGTTTATGTAGAGAAGGCAATGGCACCCCACTCCAGCACTCTTGCCTGGAAAATCCCATGGATGGAGGAGCCTGGTAGGCTGCAGGCCATGGGGTCGCTAAGAGTCGGACATGACTGAATGACTTCACTTTCATTTTTCACTTTCATGCATTGGAGAAGGAAATGACAACCCACTCCAGTATTCTTGCCTGGAGAATCCCAGGGATGGGGGAGCCTGGTGGGCTGCTATCTGTGGGTTCGCACAGAGTCAGACACAACTGAAGTGACTTAGCAGCAGCAGAAGATGTTTATTAGAGGGATGATTACAGGGCATGAGCTGAGCAAAGGGAACCAATGAAGTAATGCAGAAACACTCAGAGAGTGGCAGGAACAATGTCAAGTAGCTTTGATATCTCCTACAGCATGAAGAAACAAGCAGTGAGTGGACTCCAGATGTGGTAAAGATTAAGGTCTTATGCTTAGTTGCTCAGTTGTGTCCAACTCTTTTTGATCCCGTGGACCATAACCCACCAGGTTCCTCTGTCCATGGGGATTCTCCAGGCAAGAATACTGGAATGGGCTGCCATGTCCTCCAGGGGATCTTCCCAACCCAGGGATCGAACCCAGGTCTCCCGCATTGCGGGTGGATTCTTTACCATCTGAGCCCCCAGGGAAGCCCAAGAATTCTGGAGTAGGTAGCCTATCCCTTCACTAGGGGATCTTCCTGACCCAGGAATTGAACAGGGTCTCCTGCATTGCAGACCAATTCTTTACCAAAAAGGAGATGTGACTAAATATAGCAACAGAGGCACTGGGACACCATGGTTCATCAGGGTGGAAGCCAGGGCAACAGGTGCCTGCCTTCTAATCTCCTACTGTTACCTCTCACTGGTAAAAGTCCATCAGAAAGTGGAGAATAAGGGAGCTAGCTCTTCAGTGTCAGACAAATATAGAGAGGTTAATAGAGCTAACATTATTTTTAGAATATGACACAATTTGAGCTGTTAATGGTAAGAGATGAATAGGGGACACAAAGGGTTTCTTGAGAAGGTTCTGAATATGTGTAGAGGTTGGATCTTCTGTACTTGTTGAAGTGGAAGCATCCTCCCCATGGGCAGGCACTCATATGCACACAAGTTCACCCAAAGTAACTTGTGGGCAGCCTGGACTATCTGCTCTTACTTTGCGTTGCTTCCTCCTCTTTCTGTGCAGGTTTCCGTCTGGGCTCCACAGTCAGGTCTGAAACCAAGGGCATCTGGATGTGGTGTGTGCCCCACCCCTCCAAGGAAAACCACACCCTGGTCCTTCTGGACACTGAGGGTCTGGGCGATGTGGAGAAGGTAAGGCAGGGAATCTTCTTTACTCCTGACACTACACTTACAATTCAATTTCTCACCTCAATTCAACTTTTACAACATATTCCTGTAAACTGCAAATCCAGTTATAAATAATGAGGTTAGATTCTCTTTTCTTGGATTTTCTCTTTAATAAGATCAATACTTTTGTTACTGGGGACACATCTCCTTATTTTTAACACTGGGGTGAAAGATGGAAGTTAACAAATATGTATTGGGTTCAAATCTAAGGCTCTGTGTTAAGTGCAACAGTGAGTGAGGTATAAGCCAGAGCTGAATTGGGGAGATAAACAATAAGCAGTCTTGACCCAAGAAAAAAAGAGTGAGGCCTTACCCCAGTTTTTTAGGTTTGGGAAGAAATCTTAGTGAAAGCTATAATTCATACAATCAACTGGATCTACAGGTTCAGATATGTAGGGTTAATCAAGTTGGAAGTAGGAATCATGAAAGTAGATTCAGCAAATAAACTATTTTTTAAATCTCCAGAAAAGCTTCCAACATACCAGGAGCATTTTATTCCATGTTTTGGATCTCTGAAGAGGAATTCTTTAATGAATTCTATAAAAACTCGAGCTAGACTCATGATGAGAATGTAAATGGGATAATATTAGGTATTTTGTCTTCACAGTGTTACTTGCAATCAATTTTTCTCCTTATTTATATTAATCTGCTTCCAAATTAAAAGTAGCAGCATTGAATCTTTGACTTTCATCACTGCAGAAAAGGATTTAGGGCATGAATTCAGAAATTCCGAGTTTAAAAAATCCAGATTTAAAGTATTCAACAATAATCTCAGTGTCAACCCAAGATGGTCTACTGACTCCTGCTAGATTCTAGTTTGCATGACCTCCTTCTTTTTGTCTAATTGTATTTGTCCAGGAACCAAAGCACACCAGCCTGCACACTGATAGCAGCAGAACTTGCTGCCCTCCCTGCCTGTAGTGTGTCTCGGCGATATATACTCTGTTCCAAAGTCACTCATGACTTCTCCTGAATCTCATTTTCAGACTCATCATCTATGACCATATGGGTAACCACTACTTCAGTCAAATAAAATGACCATAATATGCTTTCTGATCACGCTTTCTGACAACTGTGATTGGTTTCTGTGGGCCCTCCACATGCATGGTCCCTGTAACTGCACAAGTCCATGTTCTGTCATTTCTCTAAAGCCCAGCTCTTTTTAACCTAATGCCATCGTATCACTGTCAGACACAATCACATCTGGCTCTGAATGCACAGAGTATATTTTCTGGTTCATTTGAAATCACCCCTTTTGTCTTTACAGTATAGTATTAAGTTTCATGCCTGGCATCATGATGTATTTACATGTTGCCAGATAATCTGCCCCTCCATCTCTCTAAGCAGGGACTGTCATAGGAAACTTTATATCCATATAAGCAGATGTCATATCTGCTGTTTTCTAAATGCATAATGAATAGTTGATGAATTTTATTGAATAACACTAGTTCCAAACTAACATAGCCTATGATCAAGAAAAGAAGCCTATGGTCAAGCCTAGTTCTAACATAGCCTATGATCAAGAAAAGAAGTGCAGAGGAATCATGGCCCATTTATTATTGCGTAACTTATGTGTTCCAGGCACTGTATTAAACATTTGACAGTTTAAAAAAATAATTCTGCCTTAGTATTTAGTTACAATACAGCTGTTATAGTAAATAAACCACTGTATGGGACAATGAGGAGCAGCATCCTCACGCTGTAATGTACTTTTTAGGGGGACTCCAAGAATGACTCATGGATCTTTGCCCTAGCCGTGCTCCTGAGCAGCACCTTTATCTACAACAGCATTAGCACCATCAACCACCAGGCCCTGGAGCAGCTGCAGTATCCTTCCAGGAACTGAACCAGCACATTTCATTGAGTTTATGGGACTAGCAACTGACACTGTTTCTTCTTTCCCATGAGTCCATTCTCATGGCTGATATAGAGGGAAAATGGGGCAAAAGAGAAGGTTGATATAACATGTTTTGGGGCAAAATCTGGAAATCATGTTGGACGGTGCTTCTTATTCCTTATATAAGATCCTAGCTATGTGACTGAACTAACAAAGTTAATCAGAACCAAATCATCTCCCAGCTCTGACGAAGAAGAGGACTCAGCCAAGTTTGTGAGTTTCTTTCCAGACTTCATCTGGACTGTGCGGGATTTCATGTTGGAACTGGAGTTTGATGACTACCCCATCACTGAAGATGAGTACCTGGAGAATGCCTTGAAGTTGATTCCAGGTATCAGAGCAGGGCCAGAGTGTTGGATGGCTCAGTAGGAGATGGGGGTCAACAGAGCTCTGACATTCAGCACTTGATATCAATCTTGATTTGAGGTTGAGTTGAGGCCATGCTAATGGTGCCTGGTGAACGACAGATGGTGACTTCAGTCATTATTGTTACTGGGAAAACTCTAGTGACCAGGGCTTAAGCTCACAGAGGAAATGCTGGATCCAATATTAGACCAAATGATTTTAGAGAAATGAATACCGTGGGGGAAAAAAAAGGCTCACATAAACTTATATTACATAGTAAATCTAAGTGTTTCTCCTTTTCTATTTGAGAAAGATAATCCATCAAACCAGAATCAAAAGGTAAACAAAAGAACAAATGTTCAAATTACCTTTAATACAGTACATCTTACCAGCATAGGTAGCTACATTCTTCATATTGATAGATAGGCTATTTATACACTACAGAGCTCAGAAAAAAAGCATTGCCATGTCCTTCCAGTTAGACTGTCAGATCCTTTATATGCTCTTCCTTATAGTATCACACTCTTCATCCTAGAACCTTACACAGTATATGTCAGCTAATATTATAAGTTAGTTATTCAGATTATTTTAGCAGAGTGGTACCTGGAAGCAATATTCATTTTTGTTTACCTAATCATTTACTTCCCTGGTGGCTCAGCTGGTAAAGAATCTGCCTGCAATGCAGGAGACCTGAGTTTAATCCCTGGGTTGGGAAGATCTCCCAGAGAAGAAAATGGCTACCCACTCCAGTATTCTTGCCTGGAGAATTTCATGGACATAGGAGCCTGGCAAGCTACAGTCCATGAGGTTGCAAAGAGTTGGACATAACTAAGTGACTAAGTTTCACTTTCAATAATTTATTCATTCTTTCAATAAATAAGTATTTGTTGAACTGCTGGTAGATGCCCAGAATCCTTCTGTATAATAATCACATCCAGTGTAAAATGATGCAAAGAATAGATCAGGTCTCCTGGTTTCAGTTCAGTTCAGTTCATTTCAGTCGCTCAGTCATGTCCAACTCTTTGCGACCCTATGGACTGCAGCACGCCAGGCTTCCCTGTCCATCACCAACTCCCAGAGCTTGCTCAAACTAATGTCCATTAAGTCAGTGATGCCATGCAACCATTTCATCCTCTGTCGTCCTCTTCTCCTCCTGCCTTCAATGTTTCCCAGCATCAGGGTCTTTTCAAATAAGGCAGTTCGCATCAGGTGGCCAAAGTATTGGAGTTTCAGCTTCAGCATCAGTTCTTCCAATGAATAGTCAAAATTGATTTCCTTTAGGATTGACTGGTTGGATCTCCTTGCAATCCAAGGTACTCTCAAGAGTGTTCTCCAACACCACAGTTCAAAAGCATTTATTCTTCGGCATTCAGCTTTCTTTATAGTCCAACTTTCACATCCATACATGACCACTGGAAAAACCATAGCTTTCACTAGATGGACCTTTGTTGGCAAAGTAATGTCTCTGCTTTTTAACATACTTTCTAGGTTGCTCATAACTTTTTCTTCCAAGGAGCAAGCGTCTTTTAATTTCATGGCTTCAGTCACCATCTGCAGTGACTTCAGAGCCAAAAAAATAAAGTCTCTCACTGTTCCCATTGTTTCCCTATCTATTTGCCATGAAGTGATGAGACCAGATGCCATGATCTTCGTTTTTTGAATGTTGAGTTTTAAGCCAACTTTTTCCACACTTCTCTTCCACTTTCATCAAGAGGCTCTTTAGTTCTTCTTCACTTTCTGCTGTAAGGGTGGTGTCATCTGCATATCTAAGGTTATTGATATTTCTCCAGGCAATCTTGATTCCAGCTTGTGCTTCATCCAGCTCAGCATTTCATATGATGTACTGTGCATATAAGTTAAATATGCAGGGTGACAATATATAGCCTTGATGTACTCCTTTCCCAACTTGGAACCAGTCTGTTGTTCCATGTCCGGTCTAAATGTTGCTTCTTGACCTGCATACAGCTTTCTCAGGAGGCAGGTAAGGTGGTTTGGTATTCCCATCTCTTTAAGAATTGTCCAGTTTGTTGTGATCCACACAGTCAAAGGCTTTGGCAGAAGTAGTCAATAAAGCAGAAGTAGATGTTTTTCTGGAACTTTCTTGCTTTTTTGATGATGCAGTGGATGTTGGCAATTTGATCTCTGGTTCCTCTGCCTTTTCTAAATCCAGCTTGAACATCTGGAAGTTCATGGTTCATGTACTGTTGAAGCCTAGGTTGGAGAATATTGAGCATTACTTTGCTAGCATGTGAGATGGGTGCAATTGTGTGGTAGTTTGAACATTCTTTGGCATTGCCTTTCTTTGGGATTGGTTTCATTTAGGCTACACTAACATGAAATGGTGTATGCTAAAGTAATCTCCAATCATATCTACAATGTGTGTACTTTTTTGCTCTGATTTATGAAGCGTTTCTTTACATCCTGAGTATCATTTTGTCTTCCACAGGTTATTTTCCCAGCAATATCATAAATATATAATAAATATCTTTATTTCTATCATCACATTACTATAGAGCTCATATGTCATTTCTCACATGGGAACTGTAATATCAGAAAAATATTTCTGACAATTTCTTGGATTAATCTATTACTCAAGAAACATCTAATCAGTAGTTGATCCACTGCACAGCATGGAAAGTTAAGGAAAAGAATCAGAAGTTTGTCACTAAGAATGGATTCCTCCCCTGCCTCCTCAGAAGTACTTCCTTTACTCTTAGACATATACAGAAAAGGGGGGCGAGGGGATTTTCCACCCCTGGGTAGATTAGTGTAAGATTGATTTGCATGATTCGATAATAGGAGATATCTGAGCATGAGAGTTATAGTGATACAAAGATCCTTGGAACTAAAGTCCTCAGCCCCCTATTCTTTTCCTGCTCTTTTTCCAATTCTGCAGGCAAGGATCCCCAAATCCAAAATTCCAACATGCCCAGAGAGTGTATTAGGAAATTTTTTCCAAAAAGAAAGTGCTTTGTCTTTGACCGGCCTACAAATGATAGAAGGCTATTACTCCATATTGAGGAACTATCAGATGACCAATTGGATGTGAATTTTCAGAAGCAATCAAAAGATTTTTGCTCATATGTCTTCACCCATGCAAAGCCCAAGACCCTAAGAGAAGGAATCACTGTCACTGGGGGAGGTGAGTCTCCTTCGCTACCTCATGTCTCAGTGTGCTTCAGTGTATGGTAAACTTGTGATTACACTCTGGATTTCTCTGGGTTTCTCTGTAGCTGTGTTTTCTTCTCCATGTGACTTGGAAAATGAATGTTCATGCCACTCATGAAAATGCATGTTTCTTCATTTAAAGAAGCATATATAAGTGCTTGTTGCAGTCTACCAAATCTCATGAAACTACTACATTAATAATATAAATTAAAGATAGAAATCTTCATGGTGATGAGATGTCTGAAGGGATAAGTGTTTCAAGTGAGAATAGGCAAGATATTTTGTGAATTTACATGAATCAGAAGATAAATAGTAGTTATGAATCTGTGTAAGTTCAGTGAGAGTCTGAGTAACAAATGTAAATACAATCTTATGTACAGGGCTGGCTTCATGGACATGTCACCTGGGCAGTCATGCTGAGATGAGCCCTGCTTGGTTTCATGTTTGTTCCAACTGTCCTGAAATTCTTGATGACATTTCAACAAGACATTTTCATTTACAAATAATGCCCACAAGTTATGTAATTTACTTATATCTATAATAAATTCTCTTTATTACAATGGGAAAAGTGATCTAGGAGAATCTTGGGCATATTGTTTGAGATCATTTGTTCAATATTGTAATATGATGAATTTGAGAACCAAAAGGTAGAGTGAATAGTAGGCATAGTGATGTTATTATAAAGAAGTAGATTCATAGATCAAACAGGAGAAGGATACAAGCATGAGTAAATACAATGAGGAGAAGAATAAATAGAGGAAAAGGAAACTTCCACTTCCATAAAATTTTAGTGATTTTTTTTATACTGCGAATCTCTAAATCTATAAAACAGGTAAGAATTCTCTCTCCATTTAATAAATATTATGTATCTTTCAGGGTTGGGGACTCTAGTGGAGGCCTACGTAGATGCCATCAACAGTGGAGGAGTTCCCTGTTTGGAGAATGCGGTAATAACTCTGGCTGAGCGTGAGAACTCAGTAGCCGTGCAGAAGGCAGCTGATCACTACAGTGAACAGATGACCCAGCGACTGAACCTTCCCACAGACACGCTCCAGGAGCTGCTAGAGGTGCATGCAGCCTGTGAGAAGGAAGCCATTGCCATCTTCATGAGGGACTCCTTCAAGGATGACAGGCAGATGTTCCAGAAGAAGCTCACGGTAATGTGTCCTAGAATATATGCTTCCTGATTCCTTTCTTCTGGAATGATGCTGAGACTCCCCCCTTTTGACAAAACGGTTCCTGTGCTTCTTATCATAAAAGAGTTTAGATTCTAATGAGTGATAGGGCTCTACAGGCTACAGGTCATCACTTTTCTAAAAATTGGGCTTCTTATTTTCTGTTGTGACAAAACAAATTACTCTGCTCTTAGCAGCTTAAAATAGCACACATCTATTAGCTTATCATTCCTCAGGTCAGATCCCACCCAGGGTCTGTGGGTATTCTGCTTGGTGTACCATAGCTAAAAACAAGGTTCACATTGACTTGATATCCACATGGACATTCTGGGGAACTCCGCTCCATCTTCAGCACAGCAACGGTGCACTGTTTTCTTCTTCTGTTTCTAATCTCTCGGACTACCTCTTCTGCCACCGATTGGAGAAGAATAACATGTAAAGTGCAAGTGTGATCAGGTAATATCCACCTGGGTAATCTCCATTTTGTAAAGTCAACATGTTCCATGCAATATAGTCTGTACACAGAATAATTGTTCATCATATTCACAAATCCAGGGACTAGGTAGATTGTGGACCCTGGGAAAGAAAACTCTTGGAGATCACAATTCTGCTTACCATTAGCACCTTCGCTGAAAGTCTGACTTTCAGTCTTGCTTGACCATTATAAGTTACAAAAATATCTTACTTCATATTGAGAAAACAAGCATGATTGGAATTTATAAGTACAAGCAAAAAATTTCTGTTCCTATATTTTCACACACTCAAATTCTCAATGAAATGAGAATATAAGAAAAGTTGAAAATTCTAATTGGTGTGGTGTTCTTTCACTAAGTCATGTCTCACTCTGAGATCCCATGGATTATCCCCCCAGGCTCCTCTGTCCACACAATTTTCCAGGCAAGAATACTGGAGTGAGCTGCCATTTCCTACTTCAGGGGATCTTCCCAACCCGAGGATTGAACCAGCATCTGTTGCATGTCCTGCACTGGCATGCGGATTTTTTTACCACTGTGTCACCTGGGAAGCCCTGCTCAGTGTATAGTTGATTCGTTAGTAGGAAGTTGATTTCCTATGTATGTATGTTTTATCCTTACCACCCAAGTTGGCAGAAGAAGCCCTACGTTCGGTCCTAATTGTCTTTTCATTGTTTACTGGTGATGGATAGATCACTATTAATGCTGATGCTGTTAAAGCAGTACTTTGCTTCTGCAAACCCGTTCATTGCACAGATATTGACACTGAGCCCAGGGAATTTAGGGAACTTCATACAAGTAACACAAAGAGTTGGTCGGAACTGGGACTACAACTGATGCCTGACTCCATGTCTATTATTCTGAGTCTCATGTGCCCTGATGCTGTCAGACTGCTTCTTCCAAGGGAGCAAAGCTGGACCATCCTGTCTAACAACTTGTTTCTATTGAATTTTCCTTTATTTCCTTGGCAGGACATCATGGAGAAAAAGAAGGACAGTTTCATGATCCAGAGTGAAGAGGCTTCTGTCAAATATTGTGAGGCTGAGCTTAAGCAGCTTTCAGAATCCTTAATGAAAAGTATTTCAGGAGGCACATTCTTTGTTCCTGGAGGACACAGTCTCTATTTAGAAGCAAGGAACAAGTTTGAACAAGACTATAAACTGGTTCCCAGGAAAGGAGTTAAGGTGAGGAGTAATGGGATTGGGAAAGAGCAACAGATTAGAGTCAAAGGGTCTTTGTTGGTTCATTTGGTTGCCAGATCCTGATTTGCACCGAGGCAGTTGGTGATGAGGAGGCCGACTTGGAACCCCAGGAGGGTTCTGAGTCTAGTGCTGTTTTTCTGATGAGTTGAGTAAGGGTCCAAGAGATCCCAGGTCTGTTGGCTGCCCACTGGTGGGTGAGCCAGGTCCTAGGTCTAGTAACAGCCTACTAGAGGAGAGAGCCACATCCTGGGGTCTGGGTGCAGGGTCCAGGAGTTCCAGAGCATGTGTTGACCATGGTAGAGCCGTTAGGCTCCTGAATCTGGGGGATTCTGAAGATTCTGTTGGCCTGATATTGGTCCAGGTGGTCTTGAACCCAGCTGGTCCCAGGAATGACATGGCCTGCTAGTGAGTGGACTAGCCCCGCAGACTGAGAAACTGAGCTCTTTTGCACCTGGTATCTTCCCCTAATGTGTTCCATCCTCTGTCTGGAGGATGCTGGGGGTTTCAGGTCTCAGTCCTCCTGGTGAATGGGACTGGGTCCCTGGCTCTCTGGTAGGCACAGCCATGTCCAGAGGCAGCTGTGGGTTCAGGAGATCTGCTGGTGGATGGGGCTGCATGCATGTCTAGTCAGTTGCTCGGCGTGAGGCATCCTAGTACTGGCATCTGCATACCATTGCATTAGGGTAGGGCTGGGTCTTAGGGCTAATAAGATAGGAGGAAGCTTCCAAAATGGCACTCACCAGCACCAATGTCCAAGTGGTGGAAGGAATTTTCCAGAATGTCTTCTGCCAGTGTCTGTGTCCCCAGGTGAAGCTCCAGTTGCCTCCAGCCAATCTGGGAGACTCTCCAGGGTCAGCAGGTAGGTCTGACCCAGGCTCCTATCAAGTTACTGTTTATTCTCTGGGTCCTGGGACACGTGCGATTTAGTGTGCACCGTGTAAGGGCTAAGACTCATTTACCCAGGCCCTCTGGGACTCCTGAATATCAGCTCCGCTGGCCTTCCAAGCAAATGCTCCATGGGTGTTTGTAGACATGCACATAATTCTTAGGTCTGTAACCATTTGGGAGCTTACAGAGGATGGAGAATTTACAGGATACAGTCTGTAGTTTACTGAACAATAATTTCCACAGCAAGACACTACGTCTTTTCTACCTGACAAGTCTTTGCTCCTTCTTGTTTCCTCAGGCAAACCAGGTCCTCCAGAGCTTCCTGCAGTCACAGCAAGGAGTAGAGGAAGCCATCCTGAAGGCAGACCAGGCCCTCACTGATGGGGACAAGGCCGTGGCAGGTACAGGGGAGGACTGAGCTCTCAGAGGGGAAGGTGGTTCCTGTGCTGCCCTTTGGCAGGTGTGGGAACAAACACTTCCTGACACCAGAGCTTCCTCTTCTTCTGTGGAACCTCTCTGCTACATGTGGAAGTAAATAGGGGAGTTTGGGTTGTATGTACATCCAATCAGTGCTTCTACATCACATATGTTGTCTGACGTGGTAGCAGGAACAGTCAGACTCCTTCCCACAATATTAAAGCCACTTTATCTCTGAGCAAAGGAGGTGACAGCTCAGCATAGTCATGTTCTCCCCTCTTTAAAATTCTTGTGAAACAGCTGAGTGTGCCAAGAAGGATGCAGCTGAGAGGGAACAGGAGCTGCTAAGACAGAAACAGATTGAAGAGGAACAGAATCTGGAGGCACAAGAGAGAAGCTTCAAGGAAAACCTGGCCCAACTGCAAGAGAAGATGGATAGGGAAAGAGAAAGCCTTCGGAGACAGCAGGAAATGATGCTGGAGCACAAGCTGAAGGTAAGTCTAGATGGGCCTGGGTGGGGCCTGATGGGGAAACCCTAACTCCTCAGGAATAAAGGAACAGGAATTTGACCTTAAATCAGATCCCAGAAGGAAATACAAAAACATAGGATTCACTGTAACATCAAAGAAATGTGAATTGGTTTACCTCTCTAAGACTCAGCACCTTCTGTAGTGTTAGGGTTTGAATGGGACAAATAACATGGCCCAGGTTCCTGGGCTGCTGTTCATGGTGATTATAGCATCACATTTGTTCCCAAGTGAATAGGACCTCAGTCTTAGAGTCCTTAGAATTTGGGATACAACCGTCAGAGACCTGGAATAGTTCCATCTGCTCCTGAAAATATCAGATTGTACCTGGTATGAAATATTGGATGCTGAAAGCTGTAAAATTTGCTACATTTGTTTCCAGATCTCCTGATTCATTTTATACACGGAAACTAAATGCATTTTTTGTTCCCAGCCTGGAGTTTGATAGCTAGAGTTCTGAATTGAGTCAGCAATGCTATTTTGGTGACATGTGGGTGGTCATTCTACCTCAGTGAAACTTACAAATATTTAGAACTCACCTACATGTTCTCCGCTGGAACCTTGCCCTGGGGTAGTTTTCAGACCTGACCTATACCCAACTTCTCTGTACCTAAGAAGATGGTGTTGAAAAAACACGGGAAACTCTAAACCCTGGATACTCTCCCTTCCATGTTGCAAATGTTTGCAAATATTAGAATAACATAAAAAAAGCATCTAAAGTGATAGAGAAGTAGACACACATGCATATCAACTGTAGTCATTTGACGCAAAATGCTGATTTGGGGTATTTTCAAAAGGGGACTCTCTTTTTTACAGATGCAAAAAGAGTTACTCACAGAAGGATTCAAAAAGGAAGCTGAGGCATTAAATAAAGAGATAGCTCAACTAAAAGAAGGTATTCAAACAACTGAAAAGTCCTTCAATATTTCAGATGTCCTTGATATGGCAAGTGTGACATTAATTGCAGTACTCCCTGGGGCTTATAAAGTAGCTGGTATGGGACTGAAACTTCTCAGTGATCGTATGAAAGCGGCTGAGAAACCCTAGTAAGTATATTTTGAAAGGCTTCTTATGTTTTAGTAGTGTAATACTATAGTTCATTTTTAAAGTATGTATGTCATGATAGTTTTGTTCAAGAGGAGCTTAAAAACTGACTACCAAAGAATTACTAGTTATTACAAAAGTGATTACCAGTGCCTGATATGCCAAAAAAAAAAAAAAAACCCACACAATTTTGAATGAATTAGTTAATTTTAATAAATGGAAAACCAGTTGGAAGATAATAGCTAATTATAGATAAGTGTTAAGAAAAGCAAGGAACAAATAAGAAGAGGAAGAACATTCACAATCTATAATAAAGTCTTGGAGATCAATTCTTTAAGTTATAATGAGCCCTTATAAATCAATGAGGAAAGAACAACAAACATTTTTAAATGAGCAAAAATATATCAAGAGAATAAATATGTTTAACTTTATTGATTATAAACTATATACAAGGTAAAATTAGGAGGGACATGTATCACCTCCCAGATGGGCCAGAAAGAAGAGTTTGGAAAGGACACTGGCTGGCAAGGGTACCAGGAAATTGGGGTTCTCTGATAAATGCTAGAGAGTGCAAATTGGTGCAAATATGTATCAAATATTTAATTGCAAGTACTGCTGATACAGAAGTCCATGTTTAGCCATTTATCTTACAGATTTATTCACCCAAGTTGCAAATGACATATGTAGCAGTTTATTTGTCACAAAATTGTAATTCCAGAAGACTGGAAACTTCAAAGTCTCTCTGTCACATACTAGTGAGATAAATCCTGAGACACACTTACACAGAAAAACTCTACAATCACTGAAATGAAAAGGGAAACTCTATTTGTGCTAATGTGAAAAAAATCTCAAGATGCAGAAAGTGTGTATAGTTGTACTACTGATTGAAAAAATAATGAATATGTGCATATATTATCATCTATCTTGGAAAATAAAAAAGAAATTGGTATCCATGAGCACAGTGGGATAAATATGATAACATGAGAGGCTAACTAACTTTGCATGGCACATTCCTCTGTGACTTTTATACTTTGTAAGAATTCTTACTTATTGAAACATAAACACAGTTATTAAAATTAGAAACAGTAATACACAAATTGGAAAAGAGACTTCTCTTCAAGAATATGGGAAATAGCTTCTTAAGGAAGCCAGGCTAGGAAAGTGTCAAGTGAGTTCCTTTGATTTCTTGAGGCTCAGATTTTATTCTGCTAGTTGTGTGAACATTGAGTATAATACAGGCAAAAACATTTAAACAACCAATCTGCAATCTGGGGAAGCCCTGCACTAAAGCAAAGGCCTGGTCCATGGTGAGCAGCTGTGGCAGATCCTCTGGGCTTGAAATTCTCTCAGGGCCTGGGTCCTCTCTGGGGTGGGGAGTAGTGGGGCAACAGGAGTATACCTTGGAACATGCACAGCTAGCAGAGCCAGGACCCCTCCCTACCTTATGTCCTCTTGATACAAGGGGGTTGGATCTGTTCAGTTCTCCTGACATATCACATGTTTTAAGCCACACTGACATCATTGTTAATTCTTATGCCACTTAACAAACTCATTGCTATTAATTCAGATAAGAAGACCTCCTGTACAAAATCACCTTATCTTAAAATGTTTCATTCTAGATTTGGTCAATTCACATTCTATTAATCACCCTATGGGTATTAATTGGAGTCAGCATCTAAACATAAAGAGCACACTTATTTTTCTGAAATATTTTAATGTTAATTACCACATGGAAAAAATAACTTTTTCCAGTTCCATCCTGCTAGTATTCTGAATCTTGGTTTCGTACTTGCTCACTAGAATAAAACACCTTTATTGCACCCCAAAACTACATCAATTACCCCTGGTTTCTGTCTAAACCAAGAGGACTAGTAAAATCTCTTATTGCAGCCTCATTTCTATATAAACAACTCTATTAAGATAATTTATCTATGTACATCAAACACTCTGTATGACAGATATTGTATAATGTCATTCATTACTTAATACTCACCTAACAAATGTATGACAATGGATTTCAATACCCATCACCTAGCAGGAAATTTTCTCTTGAAAATAAATATTTCTCTTTTACAAAAGAAAAGTGCTTTCCTGTCATTCATGTGTTCCTCTATGACTATAAAAGAATTCAAAATCATTTAAAAAATTCACTCTTCACAGAAAAGTATAAAAGCAATAAGCTACAATCCTCACAATGAGATAGAAATACTGTTTATAATGCAATACATAATGCTCAAAGCTCTGATGTATTTATTATTGCTGTACAAACGTTTTTATAAAGAGAACAGTTATGTACCTATTATGAATTGTGTTATTCACAACAAACATGCCCAAATTTATCTACAGACAGTAACTTTGGTCATCTGGAAAGTGGTGTGAAATGTAGACAAAGAATTTAATCCTTCATATTATTGGTAAATTAAAAGTCTTAAAGAAATTCCTCTTCTTAATGATGTTTAAAGAAGATATTTTTTATATTATTCATTAAACTATACCTAGCACGTGCCTATGGGACTTCCCTGGTGGCTCAAAGGTAAAGAATCCGCCTGCAATGTAGGAGCCACGGGTTCGACCCCTAGGTCAGGAAGATACCCTGGAGGAGGAAATGGCAAGCCACTCCAGTATTCTTGCCTGGATAATCCCATAATCAGAGGAGCCTGGAAGGTTACGGTCATGGGATCGCAGAGTCAGACACAGCTAAGCACACATGCATGACAGCACATGTATATAGGTAGACATAATGACTAGAAAGGATAAAATCATGTCATTTATAAATCTAAGCAAATGAGCCCTTTCCATGGCAGATTTTAGCCAATATAGAGGAGGACTTGGGCAGAAAGCATGTGCACACCCATCTGAACCTGCTGTTTTTCTCTGAGAGGGACTGGATACCCCACATGCTCTGGGTTCCTTGAGTTTCTATGTCAGAAAACTATCCAGCAATTAAATAACCACCTTTGGCTCACGGAACAATGATACTGTTTAAAATAGTGAAGAAAGAGTCTGTAATTGGCAATACTTCGGTTGTCACCATAATTGTCAGTTGCTTAAGGAGCTTCTGTTGAAATAAAACTGTGCTTTTGATATGAAGATCCATTTATCACTGAACATGACAGCCACAGGCAGACAGACTATGGCATCTACAGCATGACTCTGCTTTCTTAAGGGCTGTGAGTTAAGGTTCAGTTGTCACTTCTATGACCAAAGTCTCTGGAATAAGTTCCACAGCTGGCGCAGTCCCCAAAGACCCTCTGGTGTCACCAGAGAAATGCCCTGAATACTGGAAGTCTGGATGGTCTGGTAAAGGTGGTGACGGGGCAGTGAGGAGTTCTGCTTCCCCATTATGTCTGTCCAACACACATGAGAAGTAATGCAAATAAGAAACAGGCATACCCGTTTGTGCCAGGAAGTGATCATGGCTTAGAGAAACGAAGCAGTTAAGAGTGAGGGACTGGACAATTACAGCAGAGTGAAAGGAATCTGCCCAACTCTGATGTTCAGTCCTAAGTGGTTGTCTGGGGGAGGAGCTAAGATGGCGGAGGAACAGGATGGGGAGACCACTTTCTCCCATACAAATTCATCGAAAGAACATTTGAACGCTGAGCAAACTTCACAAAACAACTTCTGACCACTAGCAGAAGACATCAGGTGCCCAGAAAAGCAGCCCATCATCTTCGAAAGGAGGTAGGACAAAATATAAAAGATAAAAAGAGAGACAAAAGAGCTAGGGACAGAGACCCGTCCCGGGAAGGGAGTCGTAATAGAGGAAGTCTCCAAACACCAGGAAACCCTCTCACTGGTGGATCGGGGGAAGTTTTCGAATCTCGGAAGGAACCTAATTGGGAGGAGAAATAAATAAAACCCACAGATTACATGCCTAAAAGCAGCTCATCAGCAGAAAAGTACCCCAGATGCCCGCATCCGCCACCAGCAAGTGGGGGCCGAACAAGAGGAGCGGGAGGCATTGCTTAGAGTAAGGACTGGGCCTGAATGCCCTGAGGGGAATCGGAGGGAGCTAACATGAGATAGCAACTTAAACTGTGGGATAGCAAGAGAGAGAGAGAGAGAAAATTAACCAGCCGGAACACACTGCTGGCCATTTGCAGAACAAAGGGACTGAGCAATTCCAGAGAAGAGCTCGCAAGCGGTGGACCGGCCCATCCCCCACTGGAGGCAGGAGGCAGGGGGGAGGGGAAAGGGGCAAACTCGGCCCCAGAGACGGCACCCCTACCAAACTGCAAACAGGCTCCCAGTTTCTATACAGACTTCCTGAGATTCTGGATGGTCGACATCCACCGGGAGGGTCGCGGCTAGAGACCAGCTCCCGAGAACAGACACAAGGTGCACGCATCCGACTGGCGTGCGCAGAAACTGAGGCAGGGACTGCAGAGGGGATAAGGCACACCGCACCGGGGAGAGTGCGCTCGTCAAGCTCCTGGCTGCCTGAGCTGCTCAGGCAGGGGAAGGCACAAAACGTGGGCCCAACTGAGTCCGCACTTCGTGGAGTATCCGAAAACTGGAACCGCACGCAACACAGAGCCGGCTCCATATAGAGCAGCCGGGAGCCTGAGCAGTGTAGACGGGGAAAACACATACTCATGAGTGGGGGCAAACCCAGTGTGGCCGGAACACTGCGAGTGCTCCCCACACAGGCGCTGTGACATATGTCTGCAGCGCCCCTCCCTCCCCGCAGCACGACTGAACTAGCGAACCTAAACAAGAGACCGCCTCCACCCGCCTGTGTCAGGGCGGAAATGAGACACCGAAGAGACCAGCAAACAGAAGCCAAATAAACAAAGGGAACCGCTTCAGAAGTGACCGGTGCTACAGATTAAAATCCCCGTAGGTAACACCGACTAAACCAGAAGGGGCCTATACATATCGAGAAGTGTAAGGTGGAACAAGGAGCTATCTGAAACTGAACTGAACCTACACTGACAGCAACAGCTCCAGAGAAATTCCTAGATATATTTTTACTTTTTTTAATTAGAAATTTTTTTAAT